TAGAGGTCACTTGGGCTTGGAAGAAATCTCAGACTCTTCAAGTCTCTCTTTTATCATTTGCTCGTCAATGTGAGAATAATTGCTTCATGTACTGTGGCTTCCTTTGAAGCCTTGAGGAAATATTTCCCACATTGATCCTCCATTTTAGACTTGGTAATGTTTCAAATTCATTGAGTGGGTTCTCCTTGGCCTCCATGAACTGGACAATAAGTGATCAAAAACCTCTGTCCCTAAGGACCTCATTGACCTTGTATGGAAAGGGGAGAAATATTACCCCTTTTGTTCCCTCCAACCACATTAGAATAGCCTTTATGGATGATTATTAAACAGCTAGAAGGTCAGTTTTACACCAGTTTTGTACTTTTTAACTACTTTATAATATTTCAATATTCAGATACAACTTAATAAACTTTGTTTGACATACAATTTAGCCAGTCCTTGAAATAGTTGATATCTGACCTTGCCAACTTCAATAAATATATGATCTCTAAACCTCATCCTTTATATACCTTAAACAACTTACTCAGACCCTCATAGCTTGCAAAACCTTTCCTGTCTTGTTTATTCTGGAGCCACCCAATCATCATTATCTTCATATATCTAAGTTCTTTCTTTTTTTCATTAAGTGCATTTACACATTTATGTTCTTCTAACATGTTCTTTTATGTAATAGAAACATTGACAAATATGTCTATGATCTGTTGTGAGATTTTTCTCCCCCGTAGAGGGGGAGGAAGCGATGTCAATCCCAGCTGTAAGTCCCAATGAGGATGCAAAGTACAATTTCACCAAAGTCCATCCTGGGAAACCAAGGAGTTTACTGAGTTTACTTACTGAGCATGGTTGAAAAGATACTTACAAGGATTTTGATACTGTGGTGGTTTTAGTCAAAATGACCCCCAATGTCCCATGGAGAGTGGCACTATTAGGAGGTGTGGCCTTGTTGGAGGAAGTGTCATAGTCACTTTCTGCTGCCTGTTGATCTGGATGTAGGTAGAACTCTCACCTCTTTCTCCAGCACTGTATCTGTCTGTGTCCACCATGCTTTCTGTCATCATGATAATGACTAAACTCTCTGAAACTATAAGCCAGCCTCAATCAAATATTTTCCTTTATAGTTTTGCTATGGTCATGGTATCTCTTCACAGCAATAAAAACTCTAAGATACCCAAAAGCCACACAAGAATGTCTCCAAACAGTGTGTACAATGGCTCTTCCATAGCTGCATATGTGGAACTTACCTTCTCTCTACTCTTCCACTGTCCATATACTCTCTATTATATTACTTTTCTCAGTGGATGTAGGAAGTAAGACTGTTAGCACTCAAGTTAAATTAACACTTTTAAAGATGGCTTTCTCATGAGTGCATATCCAGAATCTACATCCTCCTAAGTCTTTCCCAGGCTCATCCCTATAACCACAAGGTCACATGTCATTAGGGATGCATTGTATACAGTTGCCTGGAAAAGAGACTATATACTTGCTGGAGAGGATACCTTCTTTCATATCAGAATATCAACAGTCAGCAAACATGGTGGTCATCCTTTGTAAGCAGGCACAGCTGATCACAGGAAGGTACCAATTGTTTGTCTTAAGATAGTGCTGAGTAATAACAATTAAATGAAAAAAGCTGAATCAAAACTGTAAAAGAAAATGTAATAAATTAATATTTCTTAGGTACAAACTATTCAACTAAATCTTGGATAAAATACAAGACATTCTTCATATGACACATGGCATCACTACTTTAACCATGCTTTTGGATTTTAATGTGAGTATGGAGTTGATACCAAGAAACAACAGATATGTAACTAAACATCATGGAATTGATGTTTACAGCATCCAGTACAGCACACCTAAGAAATCCCTCTTAAAACTATGATGTTCCAGCTTACTCTAGAATGTTCTGTACACCGGGGGGGGGGGGTCTCTCATTTGTTGTTCTCACTAGACTTAAAGGGGTGACCCAGAAATTTGCTGGGAGGGCAGCTCCCCAGAAGCCTGTCTTGGTCATGGATTTGCCAACCTTGATTCAGCTCAAGCTGGAGTAGGGAAGTAGGGACACTGTGGCATGAGACCGCTTGTTTGTTTCCCAGATGCCCAGACTCCTGAAATAATCACATAGAAACCATATTATTTAAATCACTGTTGGTCCGTTAACTCTAGCTTCTTATTGGCTAACTCTTACATCTTAATTTAACCCATCTCCATTAATATGTGTGTCACCATGAGGCTGTGGTTTGCCAGATAAAATTCCAGCCAGCAACTGTCTCCGGCAGGGGCTACATGGCTTCTCTCTAAATTCTGCCTTTTTTTTTTCTCCCAGCATTCAGTTTTGTTTTCTCTGCCTACCTCTATTCCCTGCACAGGCCCAAGACAGTTTCTTTATTAGGCAATGGTATTCACAGCATACAGAGGGGAATCCCACATTACCTTCCATTTTATGTTTAAATAAATAGGAAGGTTTAACTTTAACATAGTGAAATTACATATAACAAAATAGGTATCAAGCAAGAATTATAGTTACAACATTTATATCTACTTTATCTTTCATCAAAAATAAAGACAACTACAATAACTATCTATTCTTCAACTTCATCAAAGTCTCCAGGATATAATATTACCAAAGTTAGCGTAAAGTGCACTGCAAGCAACTCCCAAAACTCTAGAAATGACAGAGACATCTCTCTGCCTTGACAGTCACCAAAAGTTCTGTGTCACTGGAACATTCATCTTCAGCCCACAGCCCATAGTATCCAGCAGACTTTTCCATGAGGCAGGAAATTTCAAAGACAGTTCCACCTATATTGGTCAGTGACTTTCTTCTGTGTCCTCCAGAATGTCTGGCAGACTCTTTCATGAAGCAGGAACCTTGAACACCTTTAGGCAAGTTCAGCTGTCATTTCTTCGTGGGTCCTGCATGTCCAGTTCATCAATCAGTCCAGGCAAGAACAGTTTCATGCACAAATGGCTAACCAGCTCCATAAGGAGCCTCTTTGATGCCCATCTTTCTCTTGAAGTAGATTGGTGCTGCCAGGAGCATGTGTGTCTCACTATCATGAAAAGTCCTAAATTCTTAAAATATTTTAAATGCCATATACTATAGTCTTTGAAAGTATGCGGTGTGCTCTATCTGAGCCCCTGGTGACCCTGCAGAGTGTGATTTGTTCTGAGGTCTAGGGGACATGCATTTTCTCAAACTCCGGGACACTGGGGCTCCTGGTTCTCAGGGCTATTAGAATAAGAACTGAATGAACAAGGGCTGGAAGGACATACACAGTTATTAAGAGAGTGAGCAGTGGGGACAGGAGCAGGCTTTGGGAGCAGGTGCCCTGTGCAATGCCCTGAACTCAAGTAAGCAGGGTACAAGAGTTGAGGTCACATGTGTGTTTTGGAGTCTGACAAATGAGCCACTGGTTCACAACACTGAACTATGGAACCATTGGGTTTCTGTGTGGAGGGTGTGTGTGTGTGTGTGTGTGTGTGTGTGTGTGTGTGTGTGTGTGATTCCAGAGCTCGGGAGACTCAGGCAGGAGGATGCCTATGAGTTTCAGGTCAGACTATGCCACATAATGAGGTCTTGTCTCAGAAAGAGAAAAAGGAAGCAGACACCCACTGTGATTTAACTCCGTGCATCCAAAGTTCATCATCACTGCAGACAACCATGTGTCTGTTTTTGTGACCACCAGTGTCACAAATTCAGTTCATTTTTGTCATGCACCTCTTCACACCCCAGCCTGCATGTTGCAGCCTCCATGTATCTTCATGTGCACTGCTCACACTCCCAGGTCCCTGTAGTCATGCGCAGCTGCAGAACAGCTTCTGAGTCGGATGGGGCAGGTCTTGAGTCTTGTCTTGGGGACATGGATTCCTGACTTGAGATAATGTATAAGTGACCTGGGGGATCTCAAGCCATGTGACATCATAGCTGTAGTGGGTTGATTCTGCTCTGTCTCAGGCTGAGCGCTCAGTGCCTGGACTCATGGGTAACATGTAGCAAGTGGTCAATAAATGCATCTAGTTAACTACAAACACATACACACATACACACACAAATACACACATATCCATGCACACACACATACCACATACACACACAATACATGTGCACACATACACGCACACACACATACACACACATACACACATACATGTGCACACACACATATACATACACACACACACCTACACCCCTTTGGCTCATCTCACACACTGTCATGGCATCTGCTGTGGTTTATTGTCATTGATCAGAAATTGGACAGATATTCCCATTACATATACAGACAGAAGTCAAGCCTGAGTTCGTCCTCTCCTTCTGAATCTCTTGTCCCACAGAGGACACTGGTAGAGGATAAGGCAGATGAAGCAGGCCGTGAGGAAGGCTGTTTGTGATGGGACAGGATGGAAGTGTGGGCAGGCAAGGGTCAGAAGCCTGGCATCTGATCCCAGCTTGGATACTTCCCCCTTTGGGGCCTTGGACAGCATCCTGCCCTCTCTGGTCAAGGCCTGCAGCAAAGGAGCACATCCTCTGGCTCTGGACCCTTCTGGGCAGATGCTGCTGTGCTCACAGGAGGACACAATTCCAGTTCTTGTCTACCTGAGGATGGAGGGAAGGCAGAGAACATCAGGTCTACAATTATCTCAGCACTAAGGCAGGAGGATGGCAATGACTAGGCCACCTAGGACTACACAGCAGAAGACCACGTCAAGACAAACCAAAACAACAAAGAAAAATAGCTAACCTGTTATTGTGGCACAGGAACTTCGGTCTGTAACAGAAAACACACAATCATGTCATGAGCCCGCATTGGTACTTGGAAGGGTATGCAAATGAGCCTGGGGGTGGGCACCATGACTGGCTACCTGAAGCCCCTCAGACGAAGGGACAGCATATCTGCCACGGACCGTCCCTCTGTGAGACTGCTATCCACGGGAGGACAGGGTTGAAGGATAGGATAGCCAGGATACGACGCAAGGGAATGACAGACAGACACACTGTGTAGTGAAAATCTGCTGCAATTTTACTTCTGCAAAGCTTCAGTTTTTGTACAAAACAGATCAAAGAACTTGGCAGGCTCATTACATCACCCCACTCAAGGTTCCAGACATAAATCAAGGCTAAGCATAATCAAAATAGAGCTCCCTCTACGTGCTCCCCTCTACGTGCTCAAGATGTTGGCAAGGACTTTCAGTTTTGTTTTGTCTCACACCATTAACCACATTCTACCGTGGGGGACTAGTTCTCAGGGTCCTGGGTCTAGCTTTTATCTATATAGTCTTTTATTCTTTGCTCCATATTCTCTAATAGTTTTCTCGTTTCCTCATGATAGTTCCTATACCAATATATTAAAGCTGGTCTCATGTTTTCAATAATTTCCTTTCTTTCCTTCTTACAATAAAGACACCAGGGCTTCCGAGATCTAGCTAATCTTTCCATAAAGGGGAATTTTCTCTAACTCTCCTTTTCTCTCTAAATCTGATTCACTATGACGATTCCCTCGTAACATTTCAACTTTAGCCGTTTCTGTTTCATAATTAATAAAGTTTCCCAGGCTCATGTGGCGTGGGGCATACTTCAGTTCCTCAAGGACTGCTTTAATGAACGGTGGAGCCGAGCCAAGGACGTACCTTGATCTCTTGGTAAGTGGTCAGCTGTAAACAGGAAGGATAAGAAATACAGAGAAAGATCAGGCAAGGTGTTAGGAGGGCTCGCTCTCAAGGCCATCTCCAGATACGAGATTTGCCTATGGCATCAGGTCCTATCTCGATCGCTGATTGCCAGGGGGACCACCTGGGGCTTCGCTCCAGGAAGCTCTAACCCCAATCCTTCAGCAGGCAAAAGCCAGCGCAGAGGCATTTTGTCACTACATGGCAGTCACTGCTGTGGACGTGGCACATATCCCCATGTTGTGAAGATGGCAGTTAGGACTTTTGGGGATGGGGGAGATTAGCCCGTTGAAAGTATACATAGCCCTACCTGAGTTCCCCTCATTCAGTAACAGATCTGCCAAAATGGGAGAGAGAGCCAAGCCACCTTTCTGCTGTGTGACAGTCCTAAAGGTCACAGCAGCCACAGGTGTCTTGCTCCTGGGTCCCTTCTCCTTTCCTTCCTGACTTTCTGAGGTTTGTTTCCCACATCCCTGCACCCATTCTAGACTTAATCCTGAGGCAATGCATGACCTCATCTGTTTCCTAGCATCAGAAAAACCCTGCCCCAGGAGAGGAAAGGTTCAACTGCAGGTCCCTCTGTGCCACATTGTGACTGTGACACAGCCCTGCTGAGTCCCATGGGTCATATGACAATGAGACAGGAAAGATGAGCCACTTCATGGACCTGAGCACTTACTTCAAAGTCCATGGGAATCCCAGCTCCTCATCTCCTTAGCTGACAGTCCTGGAGTCAGTGGCTTCAGCTCTCTCATCCTACTGGCCTCTTGTGTGTGTGTGTGTGTGTGTGCATGTATGTGTGTGTGCGTTTCTGTGTACTTGTGTTTTTGCATGCACATATATGTTTGTGTATGTATGCATGTTTGTGTGTGTGCAATCAACCGAGAATGCTATACTCCTCAAGTGCTGTCTCCTTGACGTTTGGGTTGCATTGCACTGGAACTCACCAAGGAGACTATGCTCCCTTGCTGGCCAGTGCAGGGACCTCACTGTCCACACATTGGAATGGCAAGTGCACATCTCCTTGTCTGACTCATTTACATGGTTCTGATGATGATATTAGGCTCCTTATCTTTGCTTACGTGACAAGTGTGTTATTGACTGAGCCTCCTCATATCATCAGAGAGTTGGATTCTATTAAGCACAATACAGCTGAATACAGCAGCGATAGATGTCCATGTGCAAGAGTCCCTGTGCTAAGAGTCAGACTTCTTTGGGTATATATACCCAGGGGTGATACAGCTAGGTCATGGAATTTCTGTTTTCAGTTTTTCCAGTGGCTGCATAGGTTTACATCCCCACTGGCCATGACTAGGGTTCTTTTCCTCTCACCTCCTTGCTGGCATTTGTTATCATCTGTTAGCTTTTGTTATCATCCGTTTTCTTGTTCATGATCATTCTAGCTCCAGTAAGATAAACTCTCAAAGAAGTTGAAAACCTTTTAGACCTTGAAATTTTATGTATGGGCGTGTTTCACTTGCATGTGCGTATGTGTACCACTTGTGTGAAGTGCCCGTGGAGGGCAGAAGAGGGCACCAATTTCATTCTCAGTGTGGTTGCCATTGGCATGTCAAGCATGTATCAGCTGTGTGAGTCTTCTGATGGAGTCTAGGGTCTCATATATAGATCCATTCATCTATGGTAAGGATTCTTTGACCTCTTTTCCTAGATGTGTTCCTCTTATTTCCATCTCTTACTACTCTTGCTAAGGCATCAAGCCCTCCGTGAAGTAGGAGTGGAGAGCATGGTCTTGTTCCTGATCTCAGGAGAAAAGATTCCATGAAGTTTTCCATTTACCATGAGTTGGCTCTAAGTTGGTCATAGATAGCCTTTATTATGTTGGTAGGTGGTCTCTCCATTTTTAGTTTTAATTATGAAGGGATATTGTATTTTTTTTCCAAAGCCTTTTCTGCCTCTCTTGAGGTGGTAATGTGATTTCTGTCTTGGAGTTCATTTGTGATGTATTTCTGGATTTGCATGTATGGAACCTTCTGTGTGTCTCAACTTATAGAGCCCTCGTGAGGATCCAGTGAGCTACTTTATGATAAAGAACACAAGACAAGCATGTGTGTGGATCCTGTGAGCTACTGTATGATAAAGAACACAAGACAAGTAGGCGTGTGGATCCAGTGAGATACTGTATGATAAAGAATGCAGGACAGAGCCTGAACACAAAGCAGACACTCAGAGCAGAAGCTGCCATTTCTTAGGATGCTGAGCAACAGGAACTCTGCAGGGGTGATATGACAGTCCCTGAGACCAAGAATGACTGTAAAGCTAGCAGTGTAGCAGGACAACCTACAAGCTTGGGCACCTTTGGAAAGACAGCATTTTTTGTTTGTTTGTTTGAATATTCTCCCAATAGGTGAACTGACCAAAGTTGTGGTCAAGGAGACAGAATGGTGACAAATTCTCACCGGCACATCCCAGGAGCGCACTCGGGAAGTATCCCAATTTTTAATGCATGGGTATTGCAGCCAGACTGTAGCCTCGCCTGCCAGCCGCCACCAGCCTTCTGGATTCGAACCAACCACATTCCTTGTTGGGTCAGCTGGATCCAGGATCACAGGTCTGCAAAGCAACATTCAGAGAGGGAACTGACCAGCTGGCCAGTGCCCAAGGTACCACTGCCCACGAACAGAGGAGAAGCTCAACAGAGCAGCACTGTCCAAAGTTTGTCCTGAGTCCCTGTCACACAGCACAGAGAGAGTTCAACCTGAGAGGGAGTATGAGATGTGAGGGCTGAACACAACACAGGGTCAAGACATGTCACCACCCAGATGGCACATGCACTGTATTGTTCACAGCCTCCCAGTCCTTACGGCTTCAGTTACTGTGTGGCCTGAGATCCCACAGACCATTGCAGCTGGCTGGAATTCAGTAGGGTTAATACCTGGGCTTTGAACTGCCTTTCATGATATTATCTTTGTTTGAAGTGTTTGAATCTTATCTGAGTTCTGCCAGAAGGGTCCAAAGCCTCTGCAAAAATTGCTTGTGAAAAAAATTAAAACATTGGGATACCAGAACCGGTCTCCAGAATTGCTCTGACATTTATTTCCTTCAGGGAGCTTCAGAGAAGAGGGTTTGGCATGCAGGCCTTAACTTGCCAAGATGCAACTTGTACAATAAAAAGGCCTTTTGCTAGCCAAAACTGGCTTCTTTATGGCTGCAAGCCAAAATTCATCCTAAAGAGACCTTTTCTTCCACAAAACAGAACACCTACATCACTGCAGGAACACCTCAGTTCCCACTCCATATACCCCCTCCCTCTGCTGTTTGGGTGTAGACAAGGTCAGAGTCTTGGTCTCCTCATCTGCAGACAGGAAAGCCCACCTCTGCCTCCCAGGGCTGCAGGTCTTCATGTCAATCATGTGACAAGAGGACAGTGTCCAACACAGTGACAGGACAGGAAACGCTCCACTGACACGGAGCTCCCACCTCCCCATTTCCACAGTGCTATACCATGGTCCTCCCTGGTGGGGAGGGTGAGTCAAGAGGGGACAGGCTACCTGACTCTTGTGAGCCGACTCAGCAGGTAGTTTGCGATCTCCTGGTCTTGAAAGTCATAATAAACTGTCCAATGGATTTGAAGCTGTTTGTATTTTGTGATCAGTTCCAAAACTGTCCGGAAGCCCCGGGCTGTGTCGAACTCAGTGACTCCACTCCCACGTTCCCAGGCGTAGACTGTGAGCAGCTCCAGGGCATACTGTGGGGGCAGCGGCTCACCCAGCTTCTCCTTACACTGAGAAGAGAAAGGCAGTGAGAGAAACAGGGCTGTCAGCTCTTGTGTGGGGACCTGTTCATGTAGGTTTAGTCTACAGATGCTCCCATGCTACAGCCAAGGGCTGAGTGGTTGAAATGGAGAGTGTGTGGTCCACGGAGACTGAGCATTTACTAGCAGGCGTAGGAGGAATCATGACACAGTGATTGACAGCCAGGGAGTGAGGGCCAGAGCAGGGTAGTAATGATGCTCATCACTACTTATGGTTTTATCACAGGCTCTGAAATAACAGGGGAGGAGATAGGGAGAGGGTCCAGTCCATAAAGTGCCCCCCAGTCAAGTCAGGGAGTTCAGATCCCAGCACACACAGGCTGATAGGAGCAGTGACTCATAATCCCAGCTTTAGTCGGAGGAGATGGGGTTCCCAGGGCTCTACGACTGTTTAGAACTGGTGATTTAGCACTCTGGGGGCTCAATTGTGAGGCCCTGAGCGGATTCACAAAATTTACTCACTCCCTGGCCTCCACATGTATCTGCACACACATATAAACACAGACACATACGCTCCCTAGAACAGGCATATAGACAGAAACACCACACAAACATTTAAAAAGGTCCAGAAAAAAAACAAAAAACGAGATTGCCCGTTTAAAGAGCTAATAGCTTGAAATGGCAGGAAAATAGAAACCAGAGAATGTGACAGGCTTAGCCTCAGAAAGAAGCAAAAATCTAGACAAATGATGTAGCAACCAGGAAGCAGTGAACCAGACATGGCTGAAGAGAGAGTAGGCTACCTGGAAAGTGTAGAAGTAGAAGACACCTACTGGATCAAGCCTGGAAAGTCCTCCTTCCTCCAGCTCCCCTCCCCCTCCCTCCTCCCTCCTACAGCAGCACCTTCCCCTGCTGTCTTCTGTTGCCTTCTCTTCTCTCAAATCCTCCCCTTCTGCCTCTCTTTCCCCTCCTTTCCTTCTCATTTTCTATTTTCTCACCCCTTGTGTTTCTTTTTTTTTTTTCTTTTTGTGAATCTGACATAAGGTAGAGTCATCTTGAGAAGATGGACTCACAAATGAGAAAATGCTTCTATCAAACTGCCCTTTGGGGCATTTTATTGATCAGTGATTAACGAGAGAGGGACAGCCCGCTGTGACTGGTGCCATGCCTGGGTACATAAATGCCAGCTGCGTGAGTCATGGAGAGCAAGCCAGTGAGCAGAATTCCTCCATGGTCTCTGCTTCAATTACTGCCCTGACTTCCTGGGATGGACTGACTGGGATGTGCAACCTAATAAGACCTTTCCTTCCCAAGAGACTTTTGGTCATGTGATAAAATATCGTGTCAATAGAAAGCCAACTAGAATATCCCTGCTTTTCTCTGGCCCAGTTTCCACTCATGTATAAACAGGAACCACAGTGGCTGGTCCAGACGCCATACCAGTTGGTACCAGTGCTTGACCAGGCGGATGAGATTCTTGAGCTTGGGTGGACGATCCTTCAGGAAGTTTCTCTGGAGCTCGGTGAAGCAGGTGGAGAACTCGCCTTCCTTCCCCAGGGAGGTACAGTCACTGATGAGCCTTCTGTAGATTTGGGGGTCAGGCTTGTTGTAGACGTTGACATCACCTGTAAAGGAGGCTTCACTTAGTTAACACCACAGCCCTTTTCTGAGGTTCTTTGGTTTCTCTGGGGTGACAAGCTCACAGGCTGTGGGATTCTGTGAACGGGGCAGAGATTAACCACTGCAAGCATCACTCCCCATACATCCGTATGCCCCAGCACACCTCAGGACTGCAGACCCCATGTGGCCCTAAAAGTCCCACAACTGTTCCTAATATAGTGCCTTCCTCACAGGCCTGGAGACAGTGATGGGAGGAAACAGCACACTGAGGTCACACACAAGAGGGCTGCACAGTCATCTAATAATGGCCAGCCACATTCTGTGTGCCCAGTATTATCTGCATGGGGCTGGTCATGTGTGTGCACCCCTGCTCGTGCCAGATTTACTGGGGGAAGTCTGCTGCATTTTATATCGTGCATCTCAGGCTTACAGAGTCTGAGATTTGTGTGTGTTCATGAGAAATTATACATGTATGATTGGAGGTAGTAGAGGACATTGGGTGTCTTCCTTTATTATTTGTCACCTGATCCCTATTTTCTCTGTGAGCAAGGAGCAAGGGCTGGCATCCAGAAAGCCACAGAGATTCTCCTGTCTCTGCCCCGTAGTGCTAGGGATACAGGTCCATGACTAACACCTCCTAAGTTAGGTGGATGCTGGGGATTTGAACTGAAGTCCTCGTGCTTGTTCAAAATTGCCCTTATCCACTATGCTCTCTCCCCAGTCACTGTGTGCTTACACTGCATGATTGTCTGTAGTGCCTAACTTAATATCACGTGACTTTGTCTAGGTTCTGAGAAGAGCAACGTGTGTGTGTGTGTGTGTGTGTGTGTGTGTGTGTGTGTGTGTGTGTTTGTGTCCTATGAACTTGTAGATGGGCAGCAATGGAATAGCTGTATGTATGCAATTGTGTGTGGGTGCATAGCACATTTGAGTGGATTTGGCAGGCAGCAGGCTATGTCTTAGGTGTGTGCACATGTGTGGCAGTGGCTGTGGCTGCAGCAGGCCACACCATCAGGCTTTGATGCTGACATAGGACAAAGTCACCTGCTGATGGAGTTGGGGACATGCCCAGTCACTCACTGACTCGTGGGCTTATTTTCAACTTGAGGCTTCCAGCAGAGTAGAGCTCATTGGCTATGTCATCTTGGGTAGGGTTGTGGAAGGGTCCTCTCTTAGGTTGCCACCCACACTGCCATTTCCAAGGGGTCCTTCTGTGGTGGTCCAACTTCCCTACTAGGAAGCTGCCTGAGGTTGGGGAAGTCTATGACCAAGACAGGTTTCTGGGGCAACCGCATTATAGTTAATTTCTGGATCATTCCCTAAGGGCCCCCTTCCCTTGCAGCTTCCCACAGCATGCGGCTGCTCCTTCTCCCAGACTGGCCTCTCATTCCCTGATGCCTGAGACTCTTTTGTTTCCATGGCTCTCCTAAGCCTAGGGCAGTGACCTTGTCTTTAAGTTAACAGCAGCAGTTCACACACTGGCCACCAAGGGGTGCTGTGTTCCCCAAATAGAAAGCTTCAAGTATTCTCTACACCCCCAAGCCCCAGTGTGCTTTTAGGGGTGTCCCTGGTTGTCTTTGGGTAGAGCTGGGCAATTATTAATTTTGGAGACACACTGTGTGTCAGGCCCAGTGTAAGATCTTAATTTAGAGGGTCCTTTCATGCATAAAATAACATGTCTGTGCATGTTGGAGGCTGGGGTGGTGATGGCTGGGTTTCCAGGGTTCTGGAGGCAGAGAGCCCTCCTCTGACAAGTTCTGCATCCTGTACTAACCCTCCCACAGAGACCCAGGCCTCTGGCCTTGTCTGAGGTTTCCCTTGGGAAAAGATGCATCAGTTGTTAAATTTCAGTTAGTTCTCTGCTGCCTCATGTTTAGAAAGACAAAATCCACAGTCAGCCACAAATATCGGTGGTACACTGAGGGGACATCTAAAGTGCCTTCATTCCCTCAGTGGGCCAGCTTGCTACTTAATGTCCTTCTCTGAGGGATCCTCATTCCCCACTCCCAAAATTCTAAATCCCTCCTCCCCAGCTCACCTCTAAAGCGATCCTCTGTTTGGGTGAATTTCTCAAATGATAAATACTTTCAGTTCAGGAATAGAAGGTGTGGGTTAGAGAGATTGTCACTAATGTGATTGGCTCACAATCATGAGGACCCATGTTGGAAGCCCGAGACTCATGGAAATACCAGGAGTGGTGGCACAGAATTGTAATCGCAGAGCTGGGGAGATGAAGACAAGAGGGTGCCCAGGGCTCTGTCCAGTCAGTTAAGATTAATGTGTAATTCCAGGTCAGAGAGAGACCAGGACTCAGAAAAGATGGATGGCTGCTGAGGTGTGTTAGCCATGGTTCATGATTACATTCTCCCCACAATGAATCCGCATATGACGAGAGGAGGGGGAGAGAGATGAGAGAGAGAGAAAGAGAGAGAGAGAGAGAGAGAGAGAGAGAGAGAGAGAGAGAGAGAGAAGAGAGGATGAAGGCGTTCATAAGGATGAGCTGAGGCTCTGACGGGCTTACCCAGGATATCATAGGCCAGCAGAACATCAAACTCCACCTCCTGCTGGAGCTCAGAGGAACTCAGCTTCAAGATTATCCCAGGGGAGTTGTTCCTCCATGATCTGAGGACCTCAAATTTCACTGGGAAATTTTGCTCGCCCTGTAACTGGCACAACTGTTTCTCAATCTCCTTTAGGAATTCTCCTCGTTGCTTTAACTGATCCTCAATACTGGCGAGATTGTTAAGGAACACCACGAGGTTGGCATCTGACCTGCCCGTGAGCATTTTCCCTTTGCCCGAGGAGCCACCCTGAAAGACAACAATGAGAAAGACTAGGAACTGGGAGTCCAGATGCTGAACAGCCTAAGGGTCCACCAGCTAGTGTGATGATGGAGAGGGAAAGCCAGACTGTGCTGAGGAATAAAATCAGGATCTATATAGGAAAATAGATGGTTCTGGATCTCCACATGTTACGGGAGATAAGCCAGACCCAGGATGACAGTCGTCAGTGTCTATCTCTGGAGTCTAGAGTTAAATATGGCTGTGTGTGTGTGTGTGTGTGTGTGTGTGTATGTGTGTGCATGAGAGAGAGAGAGAGAGAGAGAATGGGAAAGAGGGAAGGGTCTAAAGGAAATGGATGGCAATGGTGGTAGGAAGGGTAGCACATTTTCTCTAAGGTGTAACCTAGATCTAGCTGCACTCATGTGACCTGAAATCAGAAGGGGACTCTCTGAGAATGTTCTGATTGTGGGGGGGCAAATAACAGGATGGTAGTGGGTGGGAGGACAGTATATCCATATATAATTAATATATACATATGAAAGTATTGTCAGGAACTCCATTGTTAGCATCGTTAGTTGGAGGGAATATGTTTATACGACATCACATACATATAACAAATTGGCTTTATGTAATCTAAAATAACATAAAAGTCATAGAACCACAGAAAAAAAGAGTAAAAATGAATCCACACCTATAAAACAACAATAAAATAAAGAAGAAAAAGAACTCATACTAAAGAGAGCCTCCCTAAATAAAATGCTGAGAACAATCACTTTAACACATGTGAGCACCGGCCAAATGTCATTTCTGGGGACCCATAGCCAAACATCAAGGGGAGATTGGGGAATCCTGTGGAAGGGAGAAGAAAGGATTATAACAAGGGGAGGGGTCAAGGACACTGCCAGGAAACCTACAGCACCAGCTAACCAGGATTCATAGGGGCTCACAGAGACTGAGCTGAAAACCAGGGAGGCTGCATGGGACTGACCTAGGCCTCTGCTTATATGACGCGGTTGTGTAGCTTGGTCTCTTTATGGGACTCCTAACAGTGGGAGCAGGGGCAGTCTCTGACTCTTTTGCAAGCTTTTGGGACCCTGTTCCCCCTACTGGGTTGCCTTATCCAGCCTTATGTGAGGGGAAGGATATGCCACGGCTAGCTAATAACCATGGGAGGCCTTTCCTCTTCTGTAGAGAAACTGTGGAGGAGTGGACATGGAGAACAGAGGGGAGGTAGGAAAGGAGGGAGAGAAAACCATAGTCAGGATGATGATATGATGATGATGGTAATAATAATAATAGTAATAATGGTGATGAAAAACATCATATCTGGGGACAGAAAGGTGGCTCAGTAGTTAAAAGACCCTGTTATTCTTACAAATGTCCTGAGTTTAGTGCCCAGCACCCACGAAGGCCAGTTCACAACCACCTATGTAACTACAGCTAAAAGAGGTGTGACACCTGCTCTTCAGCTCTGAGGGCACCGCACTAACACATGCACAGCACACATCCACAAGAATTTAAAAGTAAATATGAGAAATAAACCACCAGCAACATTATTTCTGCAGCTTTAACAGTGACTGAGACTTAGGTACTGTCATGAAGTTCGGTTTGACAGACTCTGACCCAGGCCCAGTGAGGGCCCATCAATCCAGTTACACACACATGGGGTCCTGTTCTGTCCCGTGTCACATTTGACTTAGTCTACATGTCCTGTGCCATCACAGGAGGTGTGCAGAGAACACTGTACACACAGAAGGTCGGTAACCAACCAAAGGCCACACAGCATTGCAAAGGTTGGTTCCTCTGATCCACCACTCTCAAGAAAACTACTTCCCCAAGCTTGGCCTCAGTTTCCCTGACTCTGAAATGGATGCAGCCTGGGGGGGGTGGAACACAAACTGTAGCTGAGGCTCTTTTCTAACACAGATGTGGGACCTGGGAGCAGAAACCACTACACAGCTGTGATCAGAAGTGAGGAGATGGAATCAGGGCTGCAGTCTGGCTCCCAAGGGTCCTCTCCTCCCATCTGGGTCAGTTCAGGCTGAGGGGGGCTCACCTTCACCACCTTGGAAACCCTCACAGAGTAGTCCGTGTCTCGGAAGCATCTCTCCTTCAGGAAGGCACACGTCGTGTTGATGACAGTTCTGACATCATTATGGAAGCTGGTGTTAGGTTGGAGGTAGTAATCTATGAACCCATCCAGCCCTGAGGCCTGGGTGTTGCTGAGTCCCTGCCCCATCCTCAGGCCCTGAAGCTTTCCTTCCCTCTGCAGCCTGAGGCTCCGGCGTCTCCCAGGCGGGATGAACCCAGGCACAGGCCTTTTCAGTTTCGATTTCTAGGAATGGGTGAGGCTGCCAGTGTTTCCAAGTCTGTGATTCCGAGGATCCTGTGGGCACACAGCCAGAATGATTCGTTGTGAGCAACGCCCTGGGGAACTGTGAGAAAGGCTCCAGGAAAAGAGGCCTCAAATGCACTTTGTTTTCTGTTGGATGTGGCTTTGGGCCTCAGGTGACAAACATTTACATTTAATTCATAAAGACATGTTTATTCATAACACTAAGTGCCTACATAAAGAAGATGGGAAAATACCCGCAATAGTGAGTTAACAGGACACCTGAAAGCTCTAGAACAAAAAGAAGCAGACTCACCCAGGAGCGACAGGAAATAATCAAATTGAGAGCTAAAATCAACAAAACAGAAACAAAGAAAACAATATGAAGAATCAATGAGACAAAGAGTTAGTTCTTTGAGAAAATAAACAACAACAAAAAAAACCTTTATCCACAATAACCAAAATGCAGAAAGAGAATAACTAGATTAGCAAAATCAAAAATGAAAAGACAGGTATAACAACAGACATGGAGAAAATCCAGTGACTCATCAGGACATATTTCAAAAACCTGTACACCACAAAATTGGAAAAATTTACAGGAAATGAACAATTTTCTGGATAAATATCACTTACCAAAATCAAATCAAGGCCAGATAGACAAATTAAATAGATCTACAATTGCTAAGTAAATAGAAGTAGTCATCAAAAGTCTCACACCAAAAAAAAAAAAAAAGCCCAGAAGGTTTCAGCTCAGAATTTTCAAAGAAGAACTAATACCAATTCTCCTCAATTTCACACAATTGAAACAGAAGGAACATTGTCAAGCTCTTTTTAAGAGGCTACAGTTACTCTGATACCAAAACCACACAAAGACAGTACTAAGAAAGAGAATTACAAACTAGTCTCACTCATGAACACTGAAGCAAAAATACTCAATAAAATACTGGCAAACCGAATCCAAGAACACATCAGAAAAATCATCCACCATAAATATGTAGGCTTCATCCCAGAGATGCAGAGATGGTTCAACATACAAAAATCTGTCAATGTAATTCACCATATAAACAAACTGGAAGGAAAAAAAAAAACACATGATAATCTCATTAGATGCTGAAAAAGCCTTTGACAAAATTGAACACCTCTTCATGATAAAAAGTCTTGGAGAAAGCAAAGATACCAGAAACATACCTAAACAGAATAAAGGCAATAAGCAGCAAGCTGTAGTTGGAGGCAGCTCGTTCGTTTTCTGGTTGCTCAGACGCCAATATAACCACACAGAAACTTTATTATTACAACACTGCTTGGCCTATTAGCTCACGCTTCTTATTGGCTAGCTCTTATATCTTAAATTAACCAATTTGTATTATCTGTGTATTGCCATGTGGTTGTGGCCTACCGGTAAGTCTCCATCCGTCTGGCATCTCTCTCCTGCAGAAGCTACATAGCTTCTCACTGACTCTGCCTACTCTCTCCTCCTCTATCTTCTTGGAACACTTGCCTTGCCCTACTCTGCATTGCAATAGGCCCAAAGCAGCTTCTTTATTAACCAATGGTATTCTCAGCATACAAAGGGAAATCCCACATCAGCAAACCAATGGTCAATATCAAACTAAATGGAGAGAAACTCAAAGCAATCCCACTGAAATCAGGAACAAGGCAGGTTTTCTGCTCTCCAAATCTATTCAATATAGTATTTGAAGTTCTAGCTAGAACAATAAGAAAAGGAGATCAAGGGGATACAAATCAGAAAAGAAGAAGTCAAACTCTCACTATTTGCTGATGATTTGATAGTATACATAAGTGACCCCAGAAAATCTACCAGGGAACTCTTACAACTCATAAACACCTTTAGTAATGCAGCAGGATACAAGATTAACTTTAAAAAAAAAAAAAGCAGTAGCCCTCCTGTACACAGATGATAAATGGGCTAAGAAAATAATCAGAGAAACATCACCCTTTACAATAGTCACAATAGCATAAAATATCTTAGAATAACTCTAACTAAACAAGTGGAAGACTTATATGACAAGAACTTTAAATCTTTGAAGAAAGAAATTGAAGAAGACACCAGAAAATAGAAAGATCTTCCATGCTCTTGGGTAGGTAGAATCAAGATAGTAAAAATGGCAATCTTACCAAAAGCAGTCTACAGATTCAATGCAATGCCCATCAAAATCCCAGCAAAATTCTTCACAGACCTTGAAAGAACAGTACTTAACTTCATATAGGGGAAAAAACAGGACAGCCAAAGCAATTCTGTACAGTAAATGTACTTCTTGGAGGCATCACAATACCTGACTTCAAACTCTACTACAGAGCTACCATATTGAAAATAGCCTGGTATTGGCATGAAAACAGACAAGAGGACCAATGGAATCAAATAGAAGACCCAGATATCAATCCACTCACCTTCGAACACCTGATTTTTGACAAGGAAGCTGAAATATAAAATGGAAAAAAGAAAGCATATTCAGCAAGTGGTGCTGGCATAACTGAATATCAACATGTAGAAGAATGAAAATAGATCCATATATATTGCCATATACAAAATTTAAGTCCTCAACATAAAACCAACTACACTGAATCTCATAGAAGAGAAAGTGGAAAGTACACTTGAATGCATTGGCACAGGAGACCGCTTTCTAAATATAACCCAGTAGCACAAACACGGAGAGCAACAACTAGTAAAAAGGGCCTCCTGAAACTAAGAAACTTCTGTAAAGTAAAGGACACAGTCAACAAGACAAAATGGCAACCTACAGAATGGGAAAAGATCTTCACCAACTCCACATTAGACAGAAGACTGATGTCCAAAATGTACAAAGAATTCAAGAAACTTGACATCAAAAGAAACAACAATCAAACAAAAAATGGGGTACAGACCTAAACAGAGAACTCTCAATAAATAAATTTCAAATGGCTGAAAGACACTTAAGAAAATACTCAACATCCTTAGCCATCAGAGAAATAGAAATCAAAATAACTCTGAGATTCCATATTACACCTGTCAAAATAGCCAAGATCAAAAATACTGGTGACCGCTTATGCTGGAGAGGATATAGGATAAGGGGAACACTCCTCCATTGCTGGTGGAAGTGCAAACTTATATAGCCAATTTGGAAATCAGTATGGTGATTTACATAAAGTCAGTCTCTCCACAATTACCTTTGCTAATAGACCAAGTAGGAATTTCAAAAAGATAGGGAGACACCCTTTCCAGACAAATACATCTTTCTTTGGGACCTTTAGTAACTTTATCTATGGTTTTGAATGCCAAGTAGTTCCCCTTGGACACTGGCTCATCCTGGATAGTGTCACATTTTCCAGGAGCACTCCTTTGGCATGTTCTGCCTTTTGTGTGTGTGTGTGTGTGTGTGTGTGTGTGTGTGTGTGTGTGTGAGAGAGAGAGAGAGAGAGAGAGAGAGAGAGAGAGAGAGAGAGAGAGAGACTCTGAATTGTATATTGATATCATTGTTTTCACATTAAGAAAAAACTTGGAGGATATTGCCCTTCTCTTTTTTCTACTTCTTTGAAAAGAATAAAGAACAGGCAGAGGTAATGTACTGAGTTGATTTAGTTTGTTTACCCTCAGATTCAATTAGCCAGGTTATCACCCAAATTAGCAAATCTTAGCTGGATCCTGAGAGGATTGATTAATGGGGCTTAACCCCAGAATAAACCTTGGTAGGTTAGCCTGATGAAAAACACCTTTAATTCTACATTTAGAGACAACCAAAGGAAATTTAAACCTTGAGCTTATGACTGAAAAACAAGTAGTCAGTGCTCTACTAGGTTATCAGAACTCTGCTTACCAATGCTAAAACTCTGAATCTTTTCAATATTAGCATAACAATATACCTTTATAGCTTGTATTGAAAGATTCCTGTGTAGGGAGACTCTCACTCAATTCTCAGAATAACATGACCCCTCCCCCCCAGTAACTCAGAGAGACCTCCTTGCTGCAATTACGTGAGGTTTATTGACAGGACAGGAGCCAGTGCACTGGGGCTGAGACTCATAACCCCTGCAGGGAGGAGTTCGACCCCGGAGGAGCTGGGAGAGAAGGGATATTTAGGGGAAGAAACCACAACCCAGTAATCCAAAGGGGGTAGGGAGGGTGTCATTGGAAAAATCTGAAAATACCAGTGATCATTGAAAATTCTGAAAATACCAGTGATAATCAAACTCCCTGTTTCTCAAGATTATTCTCAAGATTACAATCTAAATTTTTCTTCAGCTAGTTTCTGAAACAGGGTCACTGAACAGGCTAATCCTAGATTTTTGGCTCTTCTCTTCCTGCTAGAGGGGTCTGGATTTATCCAGGTCTTTCAGTATTTATATATTTTAAGTTTATTTTCTGAGACCCTTAGAACTTATTTAAGTTTTTACATCCTTAGACCTTGCATGGACTTTGAACTATTTTTTTAATCATTTACCAGAGACATGGGTAATATGAAGCAAGGCAAACCTGTTTGCCTTTTCTTAACAAGAGACCTAGAATCTTTAACTAAATGAACGTGGTGGCTGTAGGCTCGGGGAGGGGGCGGGGAGCTGATTTGCTGTTGCTGCCCAGCTGACAAAGCTACAGTTAGCTTAGCTGTCAATGTAAGAGATCTGAGAAGGACTCACCAACTTGGCAGAGACTAGTCCATAGTCCTTTACCCAGACAGTTATACCAGGCTCCTGTGGTCTCCATGACATTGAGGGCAGAGGTACTAAGGAGCCCAGGAATATGAAAATTTGTATGCCGTCTATATGCATATTTCTAAGGGTATTGGGGCTTATAACTGCCTTAAATAAGCCACCTGACCCCCTTTGCCAACACTCTCCTCAGATGTGTAAAAGACTATTAAAACAAACCCATGTCTCTGTAAACATCTTGAACTAATACCCTGTATTGTAAGTTGTAAGTCCTTACAGGAAGATGCACTCCCAGGGGACATCAATGCTGACTCTAGGAGCCCACTCATCAGGGGCAGTAAATCCTGACCCCAGGAATGCACTCCCACCCCACACATGATCTTTTGCTATAGAAGGATGCTTATTGCCTTTCTCTGGGTCACAGAGTCTGATTTTTGCCTGTGGCCCTAACTAGTTATAAGTTTTTATACCCACAGTGTTTGAAGTTTGCTTCTGTTAATAGACTTTGGTAGTCTGATCCCAGTTATTTGTGCAACCCCAGGACTTAGCAGTACCAGGACAGCAGTCTTGTCTGCCAGCCCCAGAGGATGAGAGGTTTTCCTGTAGAAGGAACATGGGGGGAACTGGCCTCAACTTGTCTAGGCAAAGTGGGCCATCAGCTCTCCAGTGCCCTGCTTGTCCGTGGTTTGGGCCAAGCCCTGGCAGCAGGCAAAGATTGGGGCAGTCTTTCCCAGTGGTTAGTGTTACAACTGTTCAGGTAGAAGTGTCCACTTGTGTGTCCATTGTCTTTTTGAAGATCTTGTGGGTCACTGCTAGGATCTGAGAGTCTGCTGTTATATAAATGTAATTATCCAAATTCCACATTCAGCAAATCTCTGACAGTTTGAGGACCTGACTATATAAATGTAGTTGAGGACCTTCATTTGTCCTTAGTTATTTGTTATAAGCTATACCTTTGAAGGCGTAAGTCACGAACAAGGCCACACCAGTTTGGACTTATGATTAATAGGGTGTTATTTATTTAAAGGGGAAAACTTACAGATCACCGTCCCAGACAACAGCCATCTGCACAACCAGGAAGGGAGTCTAGTCTCCGGCTGAGCCGGAAGTGAAGAGAGCGAGCAGAGGAAATAGCCGCTTTTTTAAAGGGAGAGAGACCACGCCCCAATGGGCTGGTATCACAGCAGCTATTGGTTGGAGGGGCGGAAGGACCTCCCGCAACATACCTTGAAAACATTTGAGAGGTTAGATAAATTTTTCCTGTACTTGATTACATTAGTACTTAGCATGATTTATAAGTATAGTTTTGGTCATCTCAAGGCTTAATCATCTTTAACTATCTATAATTAAAATAACAATTTCTGAATTAAAGCTCTTTCAGTATCAAGATAAGACTTTGAATTTATAAACATAGTCTACAAAGGGACTGGGAATTTTCCTGATCCTTCTACAGTGTATAATTATAGGATAAAAGTTTCTTGTATGACTCAGTTTACCAAAATAGTTACAGCTCAACAATATTAGCAAAAACAAGGAGGTTAGACACATATCTTTAAACCAGTTTTTTTTTTTAACTTGAATGGGCTTTAAGTAAGGAGAGACATTTTCTAAACCAATAGTTTTTATTTTTTATGATGCATTGTCATGTAATGCCCGACGTGCAGGTGACCCTAGGCTACTCCTGTAAAAAGGTCTTTTGACCTCAAAGGGTCATGACCCAGAGGTTAAGAAACTGCTCTAAGTGTAATGGTCTGCTCAGTCCCTTTAAGAGACAAGCCATGCCCACTCCCCCCCTTCTGCCGCCCCCCCATCTTCTGGGCAAGCTGATCTTCAGCTTCCAGCCTGGGTCCTTTCTCTCTCTCTTGAAGAGGTGTTTCCTGTCTCTCCCTTCTCCCCACTTCTCTCCTCCCTCCCCTCCCCCCCCACCCCCGCCTCTCTCTCTTTGCTCTTTTCCCCTTTCCCCTACATAACCTACTAATTAAAGTAAACTCCCTGGGTGCTGCGGTTCTATGATGAGAAGTGGTACAGGGGCCGGCACGGTCCTCAGTGTGACAGAGCCAGGGAGAGAAGGGACAACCTTTGCGCTAGGATGCATAGGGCTAAGCCCTTATGCATCAATGGAGTTGAAACACTGGGGTGAGGGCCCTGGGCAGTCACAAAGGTAAGGGCAGCTCTCAAGGCTAAGGCAGGAGGTATCAACCACCCTTGGTGTGAAGCTTTGTAAAGAACTACCCTCCGAGACAAACTACCACCATCTTCAGGAGTCGACCTGAGCTGGCCCATCCAAGAACATCACAACTGGGTCTGCTGACTGTACGTCTTCCCCCTTGGAAGAGGGGTGTGGAAAGGTTAAGGACTCTTACTTCAGCAACCAGTTCCAACCAGCTGTATGCTACTCTGCCCTATTTACACGTGGTCTCTGGGAGGGGTTAGAAGATATAAGGGGAAAGATGGGGGGACAGGGTGCCCTCTAGGCAGCCCTGGGGAAGCCACCATTCATGGTGGGTGAGGACATTCCAGTGTAGCTGAGTTAGAGTCACCTCAGCCCCGCCCATGACCCCTCACCCACATGCTGCAGGTAAGCCCAAAGAATTCCTTGGTTCCTCAGACCCTGGTTTGTCCTGGGACCTTAGGAGGAGGGCTACATTGATGGAGGAAGCTCATATTACAACAGTACGCGTTGTTTACATTTCCCCAAGAGATTTTAGCAGCAGGGGTGGAGGGAGAGGGTTGGCTGGCTGCTGGGCTGGACACCTCTGGACACACAGGCAGGAAAGGCCTGTGGATGGAGGGAAAAGCTCAGCAAAGAGGCAGCGAGATACTGAGAGCTAACTGGGACTGCTGGAAATGAAGGGCAAGGGAGGGGCTCAACCTTGGCGACACAGGGTGAGTCCAGAGCTGAAGAGAGGCGTGTAGAGAAGGAAACAGGGAAAAAACATATAGAATGGGAACACAGCACGCTGCTTGGGGGCAAGCATCTCTGAAGGTCACTTGCACAGAGGGGTGTCCACAATGTAAGATCCTGGGGTGGGAGGGGGAGCAGATCTGAAGTCTTGATTTCAAGCAGAGTTGTCTGGGAGTGCAGGAGAGAGGTGGGGACCAGCCAGGGAGGACTGGACCCGCTCCCTTCTGTAACATGGCTTGAGTCTTTAAATCAATGGTCAGTCGACTCTAGAGGCTTCATCTAGCATTTTCATCCCAGAGATGGACTCCAACTCAGATACCCACAGTGGGGTAGATATGAGCTCCACAGCTTCCTGGGGTCTGTACCACCTGGGGAGAAAAAGACAGGTGGGGTGGGGGCTTAAAGAAGGGCGTGGTGGCAGACGCCTTTAATCCCAGCACAGACAGGTGAATCTCTGTGAGTTCGAGGCCAGCCTCGTCTGCAGAGTGAGTTCCAGATCATTCAGGGCCACACAGTGAGAACCTGTCTCCAGAAAAGAATCTGGAAAAGCTGAGAAACACAACAACAAAACTCTCTCTCACCAAAAGACACAACACAATGTCTCAGGTTCCAACTGGGAAGTACATAGGGAGTCTGGGGACAGTGTTCAGCATCTCACAATGCACAGTACAACCTTCTCACCTTGTCCCCGGAAGTCAACAGTGCCAAGGAGGCACAGAAGGAAGAATGGAGTGTGCCTGCCTGTGGGAGGGTAGCCTGGAAGGCTGTGCCTGGTGTATCTTGGGTGGAGGGGGAGGGAATTCCAACCTTCGACAGTACAATTTTACCCCTTGCTTGGTAGCCACTTTCAAAGCTACAGGTGACCATGTGACAATTCTAGGGTTTTTTTGTTTTGTTTGGTTTGGTTTGGTTTGGTTGTTTTTTTCGAGACAGAGTTTCTCTGTAACTTTGGAGCCTGTCTTGGAACTAGCTCTTGTAGACCAGGCTGGCCTCAAACGACAATTCTAGGTTTTTAAAAGTGTGAAAATTCATCAGCGAAGCTTTTAATCTAATCTACTTACTATGTGCCCTCTTTTCTTCTGTTTTTGTTTTTCTCTCTCTCTGTATTGCATGCATGTGTATGCATGTTTGCATGTGTATACATGCATATGTCATTTGTATGCATGTTTTCGTGTGTGTACATGCATATGTCTACGTGTATAAGGCCCCGGATGATGTGAGGACTCATCCTCTGTCACTATTCCACCTCATTTATTGAGGCAGGCTCTATCAATCAAACCCAGAGCTAGCTGATATGGTTAGCTTTGCTAGCTGGCTTGCTCTGGGGATTCTGTTGACTCAGCCTTCCAAGGTTGGAATCATAAGGAGGCTGCCACACCCACCCTGCATTTATGTGGGTTCTGGGGAAATGAACTCTGCTGAATCACTTTTTCTGATGTCCCCATCCTTCCCCTTTTCCGTGCCTCATGATTCCGACCCTCAGTTATCCAGGTCTTTAGGTACCCAGAGCAGGGTGGATGACTGACTGAAAGAACTCCTGGAGTCCAGTTTTTGGTTCTGGTGGGAGGGGGGCTCAGTAACTCCAAATCACTATAGCAAGAAAGCCCTCTGATTGGATTTGTGACAGAGCCACCCACTTTCTTCAGGGCACTCTTACTGGCACTTTCCACGGCTGCACTCTCTGCCACGAGTCTCCACTTTGCAGTTCAAAACAGAGGGAGGAGAGCCACTCATTTGCTTCTTTGGCCAGAAGATGCCAACACCAGCGGTCACCTCCTCCCACGTCGCCTGTGGGATCAGCTGGATCCAGGATTACTGGTCTAAAGGAGAGTTGAGAGTTAGAGACTAGGAAAGGACGGTTTGTTTACAAGACCACTGGCTTTATTCCCATCAAAGACACACTGTATCCTGGCAGCCTAGGTCAAGCAATTTGAATCTACTTAGGAGTCAAAGTAACTTCCTAGAATTGTTGTAGTTGAAAGCCAAATCCCTTCTGAAAGCTGTTGTTTACACTGCACAGTGAACTGTAGTGATGACCCCTTTCAAGAGACTCACCCAACCACAAGATGTCACAGTACCGAGTTGCTAAGTAGGTCAGCACTGGTGTGTGTGTGTGTGTGCATGCGCACTTGAGCCTGGAAATGGCAATGCTGTTTCTCAGGGATATCCTGTCACCTCAGACCCCTCTTAGGTCAGCTAACGCATACTTTTCACGTTTCCACATAACAGAAGAATAGAAAGCAGTGAGGGCGCCCTCTGCCTGCCTCCCTCCTCCCCTTCTGCATCCCTTCTGGCTGGCCAGCCCCTCCCACTCCCGAGGTTGGGTTTTCTCCCTGGAGTCACTCATCTGGCAGCTTCTCCCTCAGTTTCACACTGGGAATGAACAAGACCCTGGGGAGAAGAATCCAGGTCATGGAAGAAATAGCACAGAAGGGAATCAGGTTAATTCAGAACAGGGTGGGGGACTGGGGCACAGGCACCTCTTTTTCTGGATCTGGGTCAGTAGGAACGTCCTTATCGGCTCATCTTCGAAGTTGTAGTTGACTGTCCAGAAGATGCAGAGCTGCTGGTATTTGATGACCAGGTCCAGGACTGTCCGGAAGCCTTCGGCAGTGTCAAATTTCTCCATGCCGCTGCCCTGCTCCCAGGCGTACACCGTGAGAAGCTCCAGGGCGTACTTTGGGGGCAAGGATGCTTTTGGCTTCATTTTCCTTTCACACTGATGGGGAGAGTGGAGATGTCAGGTGACCTTGGTGAGGCAGAGGGGCCCAGTGTGTCTCATGGACTGCTTGGGTTGCAGCCAGGCAACAGGGTTATGAAACAGAACTTGAAAGAGGGAGCCCCTGAGTCCTAGGTAGGCTTGCTAGACTCAGCAGCAGGCAGAGTGGTACACATGGTGTCCTGCGTTTGGACAGCAACGTAACTCCTGGCTGATAGGACCCTCTGCAGGCTAGCTATGAGCCCTGTACCACGGATTGCCATGTCAGAGGAAGATAGGCTGTGGGATGGGGAGGTAGGTGGACTACTGGGGGGGGAGGGAGGAAGGAGGGGAGGAAGGGGAAGGGTGGTGCTTGAGGGAGTCATGTGACTTGCTGAAATTCAAATCAGAGCTCCCCAGTCTCCTAGGCCTCAGCCACTCATGATGATTTGAGTCTCAGCCACAGCTTCCTGTTGCCTTCTGAGAGACAAAATGGTGTCCATACAGCTGTACTGGTAACCTGTGGCATGCAACTTTAACTTCCATCCGTGCTTCTCAGGAGAACTTGGCTGCCACTGAATTCTTTGACCAGTGTGAGATCAGAACAAGCCACATATTGCTCTGATGTTAGGAGGCTCTTTAGGCCTGACCTAATACACAAGTAGCGGAATGCAATCAGAAGACCCATGGCTAAACGAGCAACAGCTTCCCTACAGAGGCCCAGCACCGAGCATGGGAGGATTTGGGGGTTCAGGACAGTTGGCAAAGCTGGTATCCTAGCTTGCTGGTAGAAGAGCAACCACATTTGTTGCAGGAAGTCCTTTCACTCCTCCAGCCAATAGCCACTGAGATACCAGCCCATTGGGGCGTGGTCTCTATCCCTTTAAAAAAGTGGCCACTTCCCTTCTCGCTCTCTCTTACTTCCTGCTCCGCTTCCGGCGACTAGACTCCCTTCCTGATTGCGCAGAGGGCTGTTGTCTGGGACAGTGATCTGTAAGGTTTTTTCCCTTTAAATAAATAACCATTCTATTAATCATAATTTTAAACTGGTGTGGGATTGTTTTTGACTTACGCCTTCGCCTTCACACTGTAAGACTTTAAGACAATCCTGAAGCCATTTTTGACAATTCTGAATCCTCTCAGCCTCCATGCCATAGTGCTTCCCCTCCTCCCCTGGGAACCAAGGACCTAACAGCTACACTCACACATAGTCAGTTCCTGAACAATTACCCATATACGTATGTTTTGGTTCGGTCCCCTGGGAAACAGGGTCAAAATGACCTCTTACCTCATCTGATCTGGCAACAGCTCTCCAGTCAATTATTGGTAATAGCCCTTTCGAATAAGCCAATCAGAGTAGTCAAAGAACAACCTTCCTTGCTTCTGTGGCCCCTTTAAAAGTAGACTGTACCAGCTATTTGGGGTCCCTTGGCTTCCCGAATGCTGGGGGACCCTGTCATGACAGAATTAATAAAATCCTCATGCTTTTGCATCAGCTGTGGTGTGTGAGGTGGTCTCTGGGGGCGACTCCTCCTCAGTGTTTGGACGCTAGAGTCCAACAACACATTGGCCAAAGCAGGGTCTGGCTGACCTGTTTGTACCAGTGCTTGACCAAGCGAATCAGATTCTTCAGTTTGGTGGGTCGGAGTATAATGAACTTGCACTGTAGCTCTGTAAAACACGTGGAAAACTCTCCCCCCTTGATGCCTGATGATTTACATAACGCAATGAGATCCTTGTAGGCTTTGGGTCTGGAGGTGAAGCCAGGATGCAGCTGACCTGACATGGGAGAAGAGTGTATGTTAATCCTATTGTATATGGTAAGTAACAGAGTAAAAAAAGCAATCTTTTTCGAGACAGGATTTCAGGTAGCCAAGGTTGTCATTTGAACTTGCTATGTAACCAAAGTTGATCTTGAATTTCTGATCCTCCTGACTCCACCTTCTGACTGCTGAGTTCACAGCTGAGTACTACCATGCCCAGTGTATGGGAGTTGAACCCAGGTTTTGGGCATGTTAGACAAACTCTCTACAGACCTCAAAACTGTGGGTTTTCAAAAAAAAAAAACTTTATTATTTATTCATTTATGTAGTTTTTCAAGACAGGGTTCCTCTGTGTAGCCATGGCTGTTCTGAAACTCACTTTGTAGACCAGGCTGGCCTCAAGCTCACAGAGATCCACCTGTCTCTGCTTCCTGAGTGCTGGGATTAAAGGTGTGTGCCACCAATGCCTGGCTCAAAAACTTTATTTTTATTTTGTATGGGTGTGATATGTTCACACACATGCAAATGTGAGAGGCTGTAAGGGCCAGAAGAAGCCCCTAGAGCTGGAGTTACAAGGTGTGAGTCACCAAACTCTAGTGCTGGGAACCAAACTTGGGTCCTCTGAAAGAGCAGCAAGCCCCCCCTTAGCCAATGAACCCATCCTATATATATATATTTTTTTTTGACAAGTGCAATTTCATTCTGGGGGGGGATTTCCTTTGAACCATGTATATATATTGAATTACTGATGGGTATCCAAGATGCAGACAGTAATGACTCCATGATCTGGTGGGTGCTGGTAATTTCACAGTAGGACACACACCTGTGGTACCCACTAGGTCAGCCACCAGCGACTGTGGCTGATTATATTTGAGATAATTAAAAGGAAAAGAGGCAAAAGTTCAGCTCTTTGGTAGCTCCAGCCCTACCTCAAGCTCTCAGTGGATTCAGAACACAGGTCTAGATGTTTCTCTGTGTTGGAGAAAGACCTTCCTGTCTGTTTTGAGCTCTTTCACACACTGCCATTGCTGAGGTATCTTTAGTCCACCTCTCATTTTTGTCAATACAGTTTCACTGGGACCGAGTTTTCCCTGTTTGTTAATCTATCACCCAAGGCTGTTTTCAGATTGAAATGGCAAATTCTAGTAGTGGGAAAACTGTGGCCTCCTAGGCTGAAAACATTTGCTGTGTTGCTATACAGGTGAGTTTTCTGTCAACTTGACACAAAGCTAGGCACACCTGAGAAGACAGAGTCTCAACCGAGGAGCTGCCTCCACCAGACTGGCCTATGGCCTCATCTGTGGGGGCTTTTTCTCAGTCGATGAATGATGTGGAAGGGCCCAGCCCTCTGGGGGTCCTGAGTTTTATAAGAAAGCAGGCTGAGCAAGCTAGAGAGAGAGTGAGCAGTGTTCCTCCATGGCCTCTGCTTCAGTTCCTGCTGCCAGGTTCCAGCCCTGACTTCCCTCCATGACTTACACAACTGTAAGAGGAACTAAACCCTTTCCTCCCCAAGATGATTTGGTCAGTGAATTTTTGTTGTTATTTTTTTGTTTCATGACAGGGTTTCTTTGTGTAACTCTGACTGGCCTCGAGCTCACAGAGATCTGCCTGCCTCTGCCTCCTGAGTGCTAGGATTAAAGGTGTGCCACCACCGCCCAGTTTGACCAGTAAACGTTTATCACAGTAACAGGAGGCAGGCTAGCACAGCCGCTATTTCAAGAGCAAACAGACAAACAGACAAAAGTGGGCTGAAGCCCATTCTATAGACTCCTGTCTCTTTTCTGAGAGAAATCAAAACAGCTGGTTTTTGTTTGCAGTTGGGGAGAGATGTGTCAAACCCAGGATCCTCATGCTAGGCAAGTACTCTGCCTCTGAGCTCCAGCCCCAAACAATGGGTAAGAGCTTTGTTGGCTTTACCTTGGGGTGGTGACATTGAACACAGAGCCTTGTACATGCTAAGCAAATGTTTTACCCTGATTACCCTTGGGCCCCAAGAACCTCTCACGTGGAAGATATTATAGTCTTCATAATTCTAATATAGGAAATACACACACACACACAGTAGCTTGGCCTCTGTATGTGCATGGGTGTGAGAATGTGTGTGTGTGTGTGTGTGTGTGTGTGTGTGTGTGTGTGAGAGAGAGAGAGAGAGAGAGAGAGAGAGAGAGAGAGGACACATGAAGCAGCCTAGAGTCAATCTGAGAAGTTGATTTTGATGCAGGGCCCAGCCCACTGTAGGCGGCACCATTCTCTTGACTCATTAAGAGCTAGCTAAGATAAACCTATAAGTGAGGCAGCAAGCAGCATTCCCCCGTGGTTTCTGCTTCAAGTTCCTTCCTTGAGTTTCTGCCCTGACTTCCCTCCGTGATGGCCCTCCATGATGGACTGAGATCTGGACGTGTAAGCCAAACAAACCCTTTTTCCTCTATGTTGCTTTGTGAATGTGGGTGCATGTGCCTGTCTGCGCACACCCATGAGAGTCCAAAGGAGGATGCTGGCCTTCTTGATGCATCATCCTTCACCTTATCCCACTGTGATGGGGTCTCCTCCTGAACTTCAATCTGATTCAGCTAGACCCTTTCTCTCTCCACCCGCACCCCCTCCACAGGCAGTACTGGGGTGACCAGTGTGCCTCCAATAGAGCCTGGCTTTTTATACAGGTGCTGGGGATAAAACTCAGGTCCCCATGACTGAATGGCAAACACTCTTACCGCGGATCCACCTCCCCAGCCTACTTTGAGATCTTTCATTTGTCCATATATTTCTGTATCTCTCACCTGTGAATGGGCTTTCTGAGGAGGAGTTTTCTTCCCCCAATTTCCTGTCTCTTACCTCACAAATCCCCCCACATTCTGTTCTTTAGTTCCCTTCTCCACAGAGGAAATGAAGGGATGTTATCTATGATCTGTTTGTAACTGTATGTGCCATCCCTCACATGCCTTGGAGAACAGAGCCAGCAGCTCCTTGAGGCTGCTTACATGAGAGTGGAATTGCATGTAGGTGTCGGGGGCCTGGGCAAGAACTGGGAGAGAATTACCCAACCCTCCCTGGCTTTTCCTCCATGTTTTCCAGAATCTTCTCAGGAGCTAGGGTTTGTGGACTCCTACCTAGTGCATCATAGGCGGGCAGGACATCAAAGTCAACACTTTCGTTGAGACTCCTGGATTTCAAGGTGAAGCTCAGCACCCTGGGGGCCGTCCACTCTGAAATCTCAAACTTCACCTCCAGCTCCTGGGTCTTTCGGAAGACTTCTAATTGCCTCTGGATTTCCTGGACAAACATTGCACGCTCCTTGTTTTGGGAGTCGTAACTCTTCAGGGGGCTGAGAAACACTACGATATCAGCATCCGATCCATTCTTCAGAGCCGTGCCTTTGGCAGTGGATCCTCCCTAGGGAGGAAAGAGAAGGTGAGATGCTGCCTCCCCTCACCCTTGTCTCCCTGGCTCCCAAGAGCTGGCACAGTGACAGGCCAGCGCTCACCTTGACGGCCTTCAGCACTTTGGTGCTTGAGTCCTTGAAGCAGTTGTTTTTGAGGAATTCACAGATGATGTTAACAGCTTTTCTGATCTGCTTCAAGAACTTTTCATTGGGCTGGAGGAAGTCTTTGATGAACGTGTCCAGTAAATGGCTTGGGGTGATGAAGAGTGATGTGGGCTAGGGAGGATAGAGATTTGGTGGGCTCTGCTCAGAAGCCACCCCAAAACTCACCTCTCTCCTCCTGCTAGCCTGTTCCAACAGTGGGCAGAGACCTTCCTGTCAGAGACCTTCCTGTCTTACACACATATACTCTAAAAAATGTTCTTGAGATTCTGGGCAATCCTTACCTCCTGTGGCCCACCCCCTCTCCAAGCAGAAACTTTCCTGGTTCCTCATGGGCTACTTGGGAGAGATCTAGATCCTTCTGAAGGGGTTGTGGGATGCAGACATGGGAGGCACCCTCGAACAGCATGAGGGGATCCCCAAAGACCTTCCAAGAGGCAGGTGTGAGGGTCAAACTTGGAAAAGTAGATGTGAGCTCAGACGCAGGGAGGAGGGCCTGGAGGGTGTTGGACTAATGGCTTTGAAGGTGGATAAGGACCTAGGGTACATGAGCAGGGTCAAGGAGCTTGAAAAGGGAACGAGGCCTCAAGGGTCTCCATCCCAGCTCTGTGAGACTGCATTTGGATTCCCACTGCTGTAACGATAAGGTTATAGATTTAGGGGGCACTTTTTAAACAGTGGGGAGGGAGGAAGAAGACAAGTCTAAGTGGATAAGTTTCCTGGAGAGCATTGGCAGAGAGCAGTGCAACTGTCTGGGAACAAGAGAGGGGGCTTAGCTTTGCAGGCTAGCTGATCTTGGTCGGACACCCTTAGATGTTGTGACCCTTGCACCCCCTTGACAGTGGCAGCATACTCAGTCCTTTTGCTCCTACAGCTCAGATGGTGTACAGGGTGTACATGCGCACACAAGTGTACATGTGTCGTGTGCATGTGTGAGCGTGTATCATATGCAAGTGTACACACGGGAATGCTATAGATGAATATTCAAGAATACGAGTGTTTGCATGTGTGAGTATGCACATTATGTACACACGTGAGTGCATGCAAACGTGAGTGTATGCAGTTGTGAGTGCTGATGTATGTTCACAAGTGTCAGCATTGTGCAGCACCTGTGAGCGTGTGAGGTTCGTCTGTGAGTGTATATGTTTACATGTGAGTGTGTGTGTACATGTGATAAGCCTGAAACGCTCATTCCTGCTTGTGTGTTGGTTCCTGGGCTGTCAAGAGAGGGGTGACGTCATGGTCTGAAAGGACCGGCTAGTGTGGAGCACAGGGATCGGAAGGTGTGGTAGGGACTAGAGAGACGGCTCATGGGTTAAGTGTACTGTCTGTGGACCCAGGTTTAATTTCCAGCACCCGGGTGGTGGCTCACAGCTGTCTGTAACTCCAGCTCCAGGGGATCTGATACCCTTTTCTGGCCTCTGTGGGTATTATACACATAGAACACAACATATATTCAGGCAACACTTGTACACATAATATATATATTGAGACATGGTTTCTCTGTGTAACCATCCTGGCTATCCTGGAACTCACAGAGATCCTCTTGCCTCTCCCTCTCAGGTGCTGGGATTAAAGGGGTGTGCTACCACTGCCTGACATTAAAAAAAATTTTTTTAAGGTATAGGAGAGACATGAAAGCTGAACATATCATGTGCCTGTGTGTTAGAAGGGGGATCTACAGGGTGCTCTTGGAATGGCTGTCAGAATATGAAGATGGTGTGTGTGTGTGTGTGTGTGTCTTATAATTTGACCACACTATGAACTTAAATTTGGTTTTGACCACAGACCAGTGGTTGCGGAAGTGAAGCACCCTCAAGAGACTCTGGTGACTTGCAGCCACCACCCTAGTGATGAAGCTGAGGGCGTGTGTGTGCAATGTCACCCAGCCAACAATGGCAAGTGCCAGAGTTCCTGCCTATGAAGCTCACACAGGCATTGTGCATCCCTTTTTGCAGAGACAGATGTTTGAAAACTCAGAAGTAAACCAAGGAGGTTGTCTCAAGGAATTAAAAGACCAGTCTGTGGTGAAAATGGAGTCCGGGGTGGGGTACATGGGAGCGATTGTGGAGTCCTTGGCATCTACCTGGGGAACGACCCCATTCACAGACTCTGCTTCCTTCTGTCTGTCCCACACTGTCAGAGTCTGGTAGCTCTGTAGATGGAGTGTGGCCCCTGCCTCCACACTTTGGTTAGAAGTTTGCCCCTCACCTGTTCTCACAGGTGGGGTGTGATTGGCACATCTGTCCCACTTCGAAGGCCAACAAGGCAGCCTTTGGACAGACTCAGCTGGTCTAGTTTGGGAATGCTCTTGATGCCCTCTTCCGACAGGCAGATAGATTACATCTGCTTCACTGCTGGCCCCACACCCAGGGGCCGGGCCTCAGGGTCTGCTTGGGAGTCACAGACGTGAGTTCTGCACACTTCTAGGAGGCTCAGCTCCTTGTCTGCCCCCAACTCCTGCCTCATGATTTCACTCTTGCTGAAATAAACCCATCTCCTTTCTGGGGGAACCCTCCTTCTTTATAGCCCCCACTTTTCTACCTCACAGCCATCTTTGTGGCCTCTAAGAGTTCGTTGAGTTGTATCTCCCTAAAATATATCAGGATTTGGACCTGTTGTACCTGAGACCTTGACCTAATAGGAAATGGACTTAGAGAGGCTCTTAGGAGAGGGTCATGAGGGTGAGCTCCAGCTAAATATGACTATTATCCTTAGAGGAGTGGGGTCCCCAGTCAGACCCACATCCATGAAAAGGAGCGAAGACAGGGCAGACATGTGACAGTGGAGGAAAAGACAGGGTGATGATGTCACAAGCCGAGCCAGAGATCAGAGCTGTCCGGAGAGAGTCCACCCCTGCCCTATTCATTGTCTTTGAACCCCCAGCATCCAGAACAGTGGGGGAAATGAATTCTGTTGTTTTCAGCCACACTGAGTGTGTGACATGTTACAGTAGTCACACAGGCAGCCACGACACACTCTCTGAAGTCAATGTCAGGAGGACCCACTCTCCAGCGTGGATATCCTCTTACCAGAACATTCCAGCATTGTGCAGGTGACATATCATTCAGGCTGGGAGAGTCCAGCCAGGCCTGAGCCGCCTCTGTCAGCAGCTCCCAGGAGCCGTCTTTGCCCACATTATTGGTTGGGTCAGTTGGGTCCAAGATGATGGGTCTAGAAATTTTATCAGATTAAAAGAAATCAGGGCTGAGTTTAGTAGCACACATCTTTAATCTCAGTACTTGGGAGGCAGAAACAGGTAGATCTCTGTGAGCTGGAGCTCAGCCTAGTCTACGTAGTGAGCTCCAGGCCAGTCAGGATTGTACAGTGAGATCCTGAGAGCCTGTCCCCCTCAGCCCACCCCTCCTGCCCAGCAGCGCCTGGGAAGATAGTTTAGAAACTAAGACTGCTTAGAACTCACTCATAAGGACCAGGGTTCAGGACCCACGAACAACATGGGTGTCCCTGTACATGACTTCAGTCCCACCTCTGAGGGGTAGAGACGTGGGGATCTCTGGGGCTTGCTGACTTCCAGCCTAGTTGAGAAAGCCAGAGCCCAGAGTGAAGAAGAGAGCCCTGCTTCAGAATAATACACAGAGGATACCTATATCCTCTTCTGGTGCACAGACGCACATTTTTTTTTTCGAGACAGGGTTTCTCTGTAGCTTTGGAGCCTGTCCTTGAACTAGCTCTTGTAGACCAGGCTGGCCTTGAACTCACAGAGATCCGCCTGCCTCTGTCCCCAAGTACTTGGATTAAAGGCGTGTGCCACCTCTACCCTGCCAGACACACAAATTGGTATTGGCATAAAAACAGAGAAGTCGACCAATGGAATCGAATAGAAGACCCTGACTTTAACCCACAAACCTAAGAACACCTGATTTTTGATAAAGGAGCTAAAAGTATACAATGGAAAAAAGAGAGCATCTTCAACAAATTGTGCTAGCAAAACTGGATGTCAATCTGTAGAAGAATGAAAATAGATCCATATCTATCACCATGCACAAAACTCAAGTCCAAATGGATTAAAGACCTCAATATCAGTCCGAACACACTGAACCTGATAGAAGAGAAAGTGGGAAGTACCCTACAACAGATGGGCACAGGAGACCACTTCCTATGTATAACCCCAGCAGCACAAACATTAAGGGCCTCATTGAATAAATGGGACCTCCTGAGACTGAGAAGCTTCTGTAAAGCAAAGGACAC